CTCTCCTCCATCCTCCTCCCCCCCCTCAAGTCCCTCTCCCTCACTTCTCCTACCCTGTTCCTGGGTTCCCCTTCCTGTGTGCCACCATGACCGTGATGGCTGGAGAGAACATGGATGAGACTTCTGCGCTACCTGGCCACCCCCAGGATAGCTACCAGCCCGCTGCCCACGATGACCATGAGTGCTGTGAGCGCGTAGTGATAAACATTGCTGGACTACGCTTTGAGACGCAGCTAAAGACCTTAGCCCAGTTCCCCAACACTCTGCTGGGCAACCCCAAGAAGCGCATGCGGTACTTTGACCCCTTGCGCAATGAGTACTTCTTTGACCGGAATCGACCCAGCTTTGATGCCATCCTCTACTATTATCAGTCTGGGGGGCGGCTTCGCCGGCCGGTCAATGTGCCCCTGGACATGTTCTCTGAGGAGATCAAATTTTATGAGCTGGGTGAGGAGGCCATGGAGAAGTTCCGGGAAGATGAAGGATTCATCAAAGATGAGGAGAGACCTTTGCCGGAGGGGGAGTACCAGCGCCAAGTATGGCTCCTCTTTGAATACCCGGAGAGCTCTGGGCCTGCAAGGGTCATTGCAATAGTCTCTGTCATGGTGATCCTCATCTCCATCGTGATCTTCTGCCTAGAGACATTACCTGAGCTGAAAGAGGACAAGGAGTATACAGTGCATCGCACTGACAACACCACCCAGGTCTACAAATCCAACATATTCACAGATCCCTTCTTTGTTGTGGAGACCCTGTGCATCATCTGGTTCTCCTTTGAGCTGGTGGTGCGCTTCTTTGCTTGCCCCAGCAAGACTGAATTCTTCAAGAATATCATGAACTTCATTGACATTGTGGCCATCATCCCTTACTTCATTACCCTGGGCACCGAGATGGCCGAGCGGGAGGGGACTCAGAAAGGAGAGCAGGCCACCTCCTTGGCCATCCTGAGAGTCATCAGACTGGTAAGAGTCTTTCGAATCTTCAAACTCTCCCGGCACTCTAAGGGCCTCCAGATTTTGGGACAGACCCTCAAAGCAAGTATGAGAGAGCTAGGTTTACTAATCTTCTTCCTCTTCATTGGGGTGATCTTGTTCTCTAGTGCGGTATATTTTGCTGAGGCTGAAGAACCTGAGTCTCATTTCACAAGTATCCCTGATGCTTTCTGGTGGGCGGTGGTATCCATGACCACTGTGGGCTATGGTGACATGTACCCTGTGACAATTGGAGGCAAAATCGTAGGCTCCTTGTGTGCCATCGCTGGTGTGCTGACAATTGCCCTGCCTGTACCTGTCATCGTGTCCAACTTCAACTACTTCTACCACCGAGAAACAGAAGGGGAAGAACAGGCTCAGTTACTTCACGTTAGCTCCCCTAATTTAGCATCTGACAGTGATCTCAGTCGCCGCAGCTCCTCCACAATCAGCAAATCTGAGTACATGGAAATCGAAGAGGATATGAATAATAGCATAGACAATTTTAGAGAGGCTAATCTCAGAACTGGCAACTGCACTGTAGCCAACCAAAACTGCGTTAATAAAAGCAAGCTGCTGACTGATGTGTAAACAAAAAAACCCAAAATCCCCACTCACAGCTTGAAGACTTTAGTGACACAGTCACACTTTGTAGATGCTTTACTGATAGTCTTTGAATGCTTTATTTACCTCGTAAATGCATCGTTGCATTGCGAATTTTTGCTCAGCGATAAAGAAGCTTCCAGGATCCATGAAAGATAAGATTTTGTTTATTTTTAAAAAGCATTTTCCACCTGGTAAATGATAACCATTTGAACTAGTTTAGTTTTAAGCTGTATGACGCTAGACCTAAACTTTTCCTCTGCCATCTCCCTTTTTCTTTTTGATGAAGTTAACTTAAACTAAGCAAGACAGTTTTTAGAGCTATAAAGCATATGCATGGATTCCAGTAAAAATATTCTGCAAAACTGCACAGCTGCAAAAAAGTGCATCAGATAATAACAATAATAATAAAAAAAGATTAGCAAAAACCTGCAGCAAGCATTTGCCATGGTTTTTATGAAGGAGCGCAAATTTTCCTTCTGCCCCCTATGTGAAAAATTACATACTTCCAATCTACAGATCCACACAGCACCTTATTAAAAACATATTTAAGCCTGGTCTCTTTTGCTGTCCATAGAAGAACTATTCTAAAAGGAAAATAACAAACAAAACTGAAGACAAAACATCTGCAATGCTGCTAAGTTCTCTTACATGCAGATGATTTAAACACACTTTTCCTTTTCCCTGTCCAGAACTGGATACAAAACTTTAAGCCCCTCTGTTGCAAGATAGCACAATGGAGTTTAATATAAGCATGTTTGAATTTGATACTATTTATTTTATAATCGCATGCCTGAAACGTTACCTCAGACAATAGCGGATAAGCTTTCGTTTGAACTGAATCTTCTAAAAATAGGTCCTTTATCTCTCTTTTTTCTTTTCTTTTCCTTTTTGATTTGCATTCACCAGAAGTGCACTCCTTAATTTATTAAATCGTTGGCTAGTAATTTAAAGTACTGTATTTAAGTGCGTATGTTAGTCAAATGGGAACAATAACTTTTGGAGATCAAAGCATGTTCAAATATTCAGCATTATGGCCTATTTGATTAAGGTGTAACTTGAATTAATTAATGCATGAATTCAATAATAATAATAATGATAACAGTAATAATAATAATAAAAACAAAATAAAAAGTGCTTGATAGACCGAGGGCCTGAATGAACTGATTAGAGAAACATGATTGTTTTCCTGCATTGCTCAGGGAAATGTGTTAGCTTTTGTCCAGGCGTTGTCAGAAAGGAACATATCCCATCCCTTAAAGGGAAAGCTATATGGAAAATTAAGAAGTCAAGTTATATATAGCAACACCTAAAACCTAGTATCCTTTATAGTTGAAAGGTGCAGATGCATGCTTTTTGGTGCATTCTCAGAATGTAAATGAAACTTATCTATTACATGCATCCAAATTGCAGCAGCTGGTTTCTTTTGCAGTCATTAGTTGAGACTTTTTATATTCCCCTAAAACTCACTGAAGAGACTCAACAGATTGATTTAGACAGTTGCACAGTGCCTTTATCTTACATCCCCTAAATTGCTGAAAGTGCCTCCAGGAACTGAGCTGATCAGAGATAGCAAAGGGCAAGGCACCAACACACTGTCAGGAGCGTTCTGTGCTGCCTCCTGGCACATCGCAGAAGGGGGTAGAGAAAGAAAAGAAAGAAAGAAAGAAAGAAAAGAAAGAAAGAAAGAAAGAAGAGAGAGGGACGCAGAAGAGGCGGGCAGAGACCACCAGCGCCTATGGGATACCTTCCTTCCCCAGCCAGTCTGATGCTGCAGGGCTCAGCAGTTGCTTCTGCCAAATAACTCATAGTTGTGTTTATGCCAGACTTCAAGTTTCCCTAGGTTGTTTATAGAGACATCACTGCCATCATTGTATCTGCCCTTCCTTTCCCTGAGATGGCTTTTTGGCAGCCTGTCCCAGCATGGCAGGATGCAGGAGGAGCTAGGGACTAGCATGAACTGCGGCATCGCCCAGTCAGGCAACCAGACTGCAGGGCTGTGTTTTTCTTTCCTTTGGATTCCCCATCAGGTAGTGGGAGAGGCTTACCAGTGCCCTCCCATCCCTGCCTCCTCCATCCCCATTCGGCAGTCTGTCAGATCTTAAATCCCATTGCATATCCTTTAAGCCATATTCTTCTTTCTGGTCCCTAACCTTACTCTATTTCCACCATCATCTGGTGAAGGAAGCAACACTAGGAGAAGGTATCTTCTGCAATATGCCAGCCTTGACTGCTAGGCCCTGGAAGATAATAACCTTTGATCTGAACTAACGTAGGCACTAATCTTTATTTTTTAAATGGACGAAGTTGAGGATCTTCATTCTGCACTTAGCATGTGGCCAACTGCTGTTGAACACTTCTCCTTCCACATTGTACAGATCCTTTCTTCCCCTATCTTTCTGATATATGTATGTATGTTTATAAATATATATATGAGTTTCTGTGCATGAGTGTGTGTCACACACATACGCAGACACACATATATATATAAAATCAAGGCACTTACAGCTAAAAAACAACCCTAACTCTGCAGTTACGCACAAGCCTGACCTTCCAGGTTTCCAAAAAGACTTGACTTTATTTCTCACTGTGTGGCTTCTGTGTGCAATCAAGAACTGAGGGAGCTCTGACTCCTGCAAGAAATGCAAAGCATCAGATAAAACAGGGCATTACATCCTCTAGGTAGATGTGGTAGACCCTTCCTGTCCCCCGCTCACACCCCTGCCCATCATACACCTCTCTCCCCATTAATTTCTGGTGGTCCTGATCTTCCCAAACTCTTGAATTCTAGGATATGAATTTTCATGTCAAAATAGACTTGAATGCTGGACTCAGCTTATAAAACAACCAACTGACTAAACTAAACAGCAATAATCAATTCAGTGCTGTGGGACCAGATCAGAAAGTAGCATCTGGGAGATGAGGCCTCACTTTAGTAACTTAACTTCTGCCACAGTTGGGTATGCACACCTTAGTTTAATGAGCAGAATGATAATCGTTCTGCATATATAAAGAGAAAAGTGGTGCATGCAGTGATTCTTCTTTGTCAGGAGACTGGGATGGATCATTAGGACTGGGGGTGTTTTGGGGAGCCTGAATGTTGCTTTGTCCATTTATAGCTCACTGCAAAGGATCTCAATACACATGGAATACAGGAATTAACCTCCTGTAGCATAGGCATGCGTTTTTGACAAGTTTGACACAAAAACCGACAACAACAACCACCTCTTACTCCCTTTACATAGGAGTGCTGAAATGTCTTTGTGGGCCTGAAGGTGCACTTAACAAACTGCCTGTTCTTACCATCTTGCATCCTTTTCCTTCTCTTTCTTTCTTTCTTTCTTTCTTTCTTTCTTTCTTTCTTTCTTTCTTTCTTTCTTTCTTTCTTTCTTTCTTTCTTTCTTTCTTTCTTTCTTTCTTTCTTTCTTTCTTTCTTTCTTTCTTTCTTTCTTTCTTTCTTTCTTTCTTTCTTTCTTTCTTTCTTTCTTTCTTTCTTTCTTTCTTTCTTTCTTTCTTTCTTTCTTTCTTTCTTTCTTTCTTTCTTTCTTTCTTTCTTTCTTTCTTTCTTTCTTTCTTTCTTTCTTTCTTTCTTTCTTTCTTTCTTTCTTTCTTTCTTTCTTTCTTTTCTTTCTTTCTTTCTCTTTTTTCTTTTTTCTTTCTTTCTTTTCCTTCCTTCCTTCCTTCCTTCCTTCCTTCCTTCCTTCCCCCCTTTTTTGGCATTTTTATTTTTGCCACACATGAGCTTTATGGGGTTGTTTATCTCAGTGGAAGAGGACTGGAAATGAGCTGATGGCCAATTTAGTGCATCTCTGAAAAAGTAGAGAGACCGTCGTTCCTTTGGTAAGGACCTCCCAGAAGCGATGCCCGTGTTGGACGGAGGAACCAGTAGATATGGCAATCATCTTAGCTGGGCTGGAGTTTGATGAGGTAAGGCAGCTGTTCCAGCGTAGGGTGTCACTACCCAGGCCTCCTTTACCAGCCACTGCTCTGTGCCTCTCTATGCTTCTCAGTTACCCCTGTACAGCTTTTTCTTCATCCACTCAGTGAAGTGGATGAGGGAACTTCTCTGGCATGAGCAAGGCAGCAGTGCACTGCAGTGCAGAGGCAGGAATGAAGTGGAGAGGCAGTGGGCAGGAATCCCATAAGCTGGTATCACTGCCAAAATTCCCCATCTGGTCCTACCATACTTAGCTATAGAGCACTAGGGAACAGGCAGAGGAGCAAGGGGGAGAGTGAAAGTGAAAGGCTCTGTACCCCTTCCTTCACAGAACTGAGAGATTGCTGCAAGACGGCCAAGAACTCAAATCCTCTGTGTGGCAGCTCCAGCAGAGACAATGAACTGGATTTACTTGTTTTCACGAGGAAGTTAGTGTGCAGTAAGCCAGGGTGTGAGTTCACAGCATCCTAGCAAGCCCATGCAGATTGCCTGCATGGAGTCTCTTAAGCCTTATCTACACTGGGGGCTTCAGGAAAGCTAATCCGAATTAATGAAAGGTGTGCATTTAAAGTAGATTTGTTAAACTGCTTTAAAGCCCAGCATGGACATTCTGTTGCAGTATAAAAGCAACCTTAATCTGATTTGGAGTCATTCTTTTTGGAAGGAAAGTAAGCTGAATTGAATTAAGGCTGCTTTAATTCTGAACACAATGGGGCTTAATGCAGTTTACCTCATCTGCCTCACAGTTCATTCAGATAGATAAGCCTTTAGTAATCATTAAATGTAATGGAACTGACCCTACTTTGCAGGGGGTGGCTGGGCAGAGCATGGCCACATGGTACAAAATTCTTAGTACGTGAGTGCTGGAAATTCACAGCTTGGCTTACTGAGGGCTAACATATTGTTCCTGGTAACAATTCTAGTGATTTCCTTCCTTTGTTCCTGGTTTACACATTTGTAGGTGTGAGGAGAATCAATCCCGCTGCCTTCTGGGAAGTTGACAATGATCATGGCCCAAGGAAGTTAATTTCCACTTACAAAGTCTCTAACT